CAAACGCAGCGGACGAGAGAGAGAGAGAGACAGAGAGAGAGAGAGAGAGAGAGAGATTGTGCCATAGTGCGCGTGAGAGAGAGAGAGAGAGTACGCCATAGAGAGAGAGAGAGATTGCGCCATAGCGCGCGTGAGAGAGAGAGAGTGCGCCAGAGAGAGAGAAAGAGAGAGAGAGAGAGAGAGAGAGAGAGAGAGAGAGAGAGAGAGAGCTGCCGCGAGAGAGAGAGGGAGCGAGGAGCGTCGCACGGAGCGTGGAGTGGAGCGGAGTGGAGGTGTTGCTTCGACGAAGCCGGAGCAGCAGGGGAGCGTGTTCGACGATGGCGGCGAATTGGCACGCGCGGCCCCAAATGACGCCGTTGAATTTTTAATTCGCCGTTGAATTTTTAATTTGCTGCTGGACTATGGAAAAGAAAAGGGGAAACTGCACCGGGGTCACACGTTTAGTTCAAAACGGCAAAAAAAACACTAAATGGCAATGTCCTCATAGTCGAAGTTCAAAACGGCAAAAAAAACACTTAATGACAACATCCTCGTCGTCCAAGTTCAAATCGGCAAAAAAAACATCACATTTTTTTTTATTTTTTTTATTTTTTTTTATTTTTTTTTTCCCCTTCGTATGGTCGCGCCGCGGCTGTAACGAAAAAAAAAGAAAGGTGTTTCGGCCCCATGGTTGGGCCACGGCCGAGATGTCTCGGCCACACCCCAATTGGCCAAGGTCGAGATGTCTCGGCCACACCCCAGATTGGCCACGGCCTAGATGTCTCGGCCACACCCCAGATTGGCCACGACCGAGATGTCTCGGCCACACCCCAGCGTGGCCCGACCATGATTTTTTTTATTTTTATTTTTTTTTTGCGACGGCACGACCGGGAAAAAAAAAAAGAAAAAGGAAAAAAAAAAAAGAAGAAGACAAAAGTGCCTGTTTCGAACAGGCACCATGTGTATAATGCGGGCCACCGTTATTATTGCCCTTTTGAACTCCGGTCGGGACAGACCTGCGGACGACTGTTTTTTTTGCCCATTCAAAACGTGGGTTGTGACCCACGAGCTGTTGCCCCAAAAGAAAAAAACAAAAACTGATGCTCTGGAGGCTATCGAAAAAAGGTCATTGCAGGCGGTTTGCAGTTGTTCGACGCACGTGCGGAGGGCACGTGCGGAGATGGTGTGAGAGAGAGAGAGAGGGAGAGGAGATGGACACACACATAAAGCAACAGCTGAGTGGAGGTCCAGTCCGGCTCAATGAACGAACGAACAACTGAATGAATGAACCTGCCGCCCTGGACCTAGGCCGAAGTGATATACCGGCCTGGGTCCAGTAGCGGAATAACCTGGTACCGGACCAGGGTCAGGCCGGCGGCCTGAAACTGGTCCGGCCTCACTGCCGGGCCGGAGGGATACCGCTCCACGATCCTCGGACCTGT